TCGTCAAAAGTGACAATAACCAATTTTAATTTGTCTTTGGGCCGGCTATGAAACCAAACTTCTTTTTATATATAATAAAATATATACATTAAATATATGAAATTGATTTTTTGTAGGGTGGGCCAAGGCCCACCATTGCCTCAATGTGGCTACGCCACTGTAAACTTTTCAACTTAGATTCTATTTTAGATGATTTTAATGATATAATAGAGCGTCGTGTGCAATTTAAATGAACAATTTATTTTAGAATATATACATTGTTATATTTTGGTATCATTTGAAGTATTTTGCTACTCGTTCATATTCTATAAATTATTTGACCTACCCTAAAACTAAATCCTAGTTACACCACTGTCTTCATCACCTGTTTTTCCCATTGGTCACATGGCGGTCATTGCATCGACTGAGAAGGCGAAAGGAGGAGGTCGTTTGCATCGATGAAGAAGGCGGAAATAGGAGGTCGGAGGCCATTACTTTTAGATAAGAAAATCGTGAAGGACAACCCTTGTGAACTTAAGCCCCTGCTCGATTCGTGAAATATGAAATCAAAGTGGTTTGGTTCTGTTTTTGCAAACACACAGAGAGATAGAAAGTGTAATTCGAGTATTTTGCCGCTTTCGAGTGGAGATAGAGCACATGGGGTGTTTTTCGTAGACTGTGAAGCTTTTATTCACGAAGAATGAACAAATATGACATCCAATTAACGATAGTTATTTTGGTGCTGAATGGTTTGTTGTATGACCCCATACATAAGGGAAGGCGGCCAGAATCAACATATAGTAGCCGATATCTCAGGATTCAATATTGACTCAAGAGATATATGAAGGAATCGATCGATTCAATTGGCAGATTTGTCTATTTGACTGATTCAAATTAACAAAGAGTTGAGTCAAATGAAGAGATAAAATGTAAAAAGGGAAGATAATGAGCCAAGTTAAACTATGTATTAGTTAATTGCACTTTCAGTTTAAAGGGTTGTACAATTTAAATTATAATATTATTATAGTTATGGATTGTTGTACTTTTAGTTTTATGGTTTCGACGTCTTAAATCTATTTTTAGAAAAAATAAGGTTTATATATATATATATATATATATATATATATATATATATATATATATATATATATATACTAGGTGTAAAACACGTGTATTACACGAGCTGATTAGACAAAATATTAAATAATAAAATGTAAACATTAAGTATTTTTTTAAATAAAATTTTGAAATCAGGAATGAAGAAACCTATTAATTATAATTACTATGACATTTATTACATTTAATACTTTATATATATAAATATAGAAGTATTATGTGGCTTTTTAATTTAAAAATTGAAAAAATCTAGAAATTGACATTTAAATATTATTTATTTCAAAAAATATAATAAAATGACAAGTGTCAAAATTAATCAGAGATTGAGACATAGCAAAATGAATCTTCATTTATTATAGTTTTTATATATATATATATATATATATATATATATATATATATAGAGAGAGAGAGAGAGAGAGAGAGCTAGGTTCATTGTTTAAAGTATTTATTGTGTTATTGTATGTATAAATGTGGGCCAATCAAAATTTAAAATATAAATAAATAATTAAATAAATAAATAAGGGTAATTAGGTAATTTTATAACAACTTCCCCAAATACTTTCCTATAATTATGCTAGTTGATTTTAACCTAATTTATCCCCTTTTAATTACCACCGAGGTCACTTTGAAAAACCCCCCGTAGGATTCGATCGAAAGCTTTCAGCCACCACGATCCAAAGTTTGGATCTTGACTGAACACCAGCTATTATTCCCTTCATCTCTTCGCCATCTTCAAAAAAATACCAAGCCATTATCGCCTCTACATGTTCTTCTGCAATTCTGATTTAAGAGTAACGATACACATACACCCGCACATAGTTAGGGCTCGAATGAAGAAAGAAGGGGAAAGAAAGTCCGATTTCTTGATTTCTGATTTCATGGGCGTCGACACATGTATTTGTACATCGATGAAGGTGAGAAGGAAAGCACGAAGCGGCTGCAAGGTCCAATGGATGTCGATCGATTGCAGGCTAAGGAAAGCACGAAGCGACTGCAAGGTCCAATTCCCCCCAATCGGATGACACCACTACTATCGAGTTATCATATCTGGTACTAATCTCGATTCATCTCGATTAAGGTTCCTCATTCCCGATTCAGATCTCAATGCTCAAGATGTGCAGGTTCCCCATTCCCGATTCAGGTTCCTTGTCGATGGTAAGTATTTCGTTTTTTTTTTGGGTTTCAATCGAGATGAAGAACGATTTCAGAAGCTATTTTTGTGTTCCAAATCGCGATTTTCTTTGTATTTTAACCATTTTCCTGCATGAATGTAGACAATCTCAGTAAAGGTCATCTTCTACTTTCATTTATCCATTTACTAATTTTCATTCTAATCATATGAGCATATGTTCCTTTTAATCTGAGTATATTCTATAACTATTCTTTCTTATGTTTCCAATATAACAAGTTTCTGTTCATTGTATGATTTGACAAACCTCTGTGTGTGCATATATCAAAACTTAACCATTGAATTTTATGTTTTCTTAATTTCATATGTTCAATTACATTCAACAGTTTTTGTTAGTGGAGCCCACACTGACAAGCTGAAAGTCAAAGGATCAGTCAAAATGCCAACCAAAGTTCTGCACATCAAATCTGCATTGTCTTGTGTTGAAGGTACACTCATTCTGTGCTAATTTTTGGCAAATACAAACTTAAATTACATATTAGGAAAAAAAAAAAGTTACACTGATATGATTTAATCTAGTAGGCTATACATGTATGTTTCTTTTTGATTTAACACAGAAAGATCAAATACGCCTGATTTATTATCATTCTTTATTAGAGAAGACAGGGTTCAAGGACTTTTTGCACATTAACGATTTTGACAAGGAAACAATATTAACAATATTGGATAGAACCAAAGAAGTGAAAGCATTGCTAAAATCAGGCGAAAGGACGTATCTACCCTTCAAAGTGTCAGGTTCTTTTCTTAGATTATTGCTTTCAGGATACAATATCCTTGTACGTTTTTTGGTAATACTTAGATCTTTTAGTTTCAAATCTTATTACTTGCTGCTGTTTAATTTCAGAGGAATCGAGTAAGGAGCAAGTTGGAAGAAATTAATCATATTTGCACTGCTACAGATGGTGGCGAATTCCGATTCTGTGGGAATTAAATCTCGATATTTCCTTTGTGATTTGTGTATTTTCTACGATTGCAGTTCTATCGGGATAGAATCACGAATTCCAATTCTACTGGAATGGAATCTTGAATTCTGATTCTGTCAGAATAGAATCTTGAAGATGAATATTGTATGGAATGAAGATGAACAATGACCACCGATCTTCCAAAAAGAATGGATTATTCTACCAGAATAATATACAATATAATGAAAAAAAATAAATGTAATAGTATATTCTGGTAGAATGATTTATATATTCTGTTTTTTTGTTATTAATAAGTGTAACATTCTCATAGAATAGTATATATAAATTTTTTCTTTTCTAAGAATGTAATGAAATTTTTTTAACTTGTATCCAAAATTTTGTTATTTTTCAAGAAGTTCATTAAATTAAAATATATATTATGTCAGAATGTGTATTCTTGTATGGTTTAATCATATTTGTTATTTTTCAATATATTGATAAAAATATTCCGTCAGAATTTTCGAATTAGGAGAATTATCATACATACAATCAGATTTTTAAAATTAATATAATCTATTTTCCTTAAAATATGCAATTTATCTTTTTTTAATTTATGTTAATTGACTAAAATACCCTTAGAATGAAATTAGATGATATTTTTTTTATTATATTTAATTTAATAATATGTATTATTCACTTTCCAAAATTAAGTAAAATGATTGGCCCACAATTATGCATACAATAACACAATACTTAGTTTGAATAGAATAACCTAAGCATATATATATATATATATATATATATATATATATATATATATATATATATATATATATATATATATATTACGTTGAGATTAAAAATAAAATAGAGATCTTGAGATTAACCTCAACCACATATTTCAAGTATGTTGTTCTAACCCTCCGGCGTACCGGCGCGGCAGCCTGTTATAATCATAAATGATTATATAGTGTCGCCCGTTTCTTTCTCCTCCGCCACCATCTCCACCACAACAACCGCCACCGCCACCGCCACCACCACCTCCTCTGACACCAGCCGACCCTACCGCTGTCACCTTCATCAGTTATACCACCGTCACCTCTGTCACCATCACCTTTTCTGCCATCAACTGTCATAATCATATATGATTACTCAGAATAGACATATATGTAGAATCATTAATTTATGATCATGCATACACTGCTGTTGTCAGTACATTGGATCGTTAGAGCGGCAAATGAAAAATATATGAGTTACGTTGAATCTCAAGATCTCTATTTTTTTAATCTTAAGTTAACCGTCCCTTTTATATATATATATATATATATATATATATATATATATATATATATATATATATATATATATATAAAAGTGCACTACTAAAAAAATTATGCAACTTCTAGATTAAATGAAAAATGAAAACTAACTAATAATATCAAAAATATTATCTTAGTATCTTTCATCTTAGTATCAAAATTATCTTAGTATCTTTTAAGAGCTGAAACTTGTTATTTTTAATCAAATCGTAATTAAAAAAATTATCTTAGTATTTTTTATTGGGAATTTTTTTGTGCTACCTCTTGCAAAAATTTCAGCTTTTGCCATTGCACAACAACTTTTTTAGTGGATGCTCCATAAAAATTTCTTCATAATTAACAATAACCAAGAAAGTTGGTTACAAAACATTGTGGGTTGTCTTACTAGCATTGGAATACACTTAAGATTACATCAGTTTTTATTTTTGATTTACATTTACAATCGTACATATATAGATGCATTTGTACCTAACGGTTTAAAAGAAAGTCTACTTATATTTTCTGTAAAATTAAATGAGCTCCGAACTGGGGTGGAATAGTGAACACACAGAATGGAGAATGTATATAAGATGAAGAAAGCTTGAAGGAAAAGCTTTGCAGAAGTTTTGCTATGGCTACTTTTGCTTCAATCATGGCAAAGTTTTGCCCTATGCAAATCCGAGGACCGCCAGTAAATGGTAAAAAAGAACCCGATCCACTTCCTTTGGTGGCATTCAATACTCCTTCTAAGAACCTTTGGGGTTTGAACTCTGTTGCATCTTCTCCCCATATTTCACGATCATGATGAACATGGATTATTGGTATCGTTATGTGCACACCTGAAGGTATCATCATGTCTCCTAGCTTTGTCTCCTTGACAGTAGCTCGTATCACCATGACTGCAGGTGGGTATAGCCTAAGAACCTCGTTTAGTATCATGGTTACAACCTTGAGATGCTTTAGGCCTTCGAAATGCAGCTCTCCTGTACCAAAGACTTGTAAAATCTCTTGTCGAGCTTCAATTTGCCATTCTTGATGCAAACTCAAACAAACCATGGTCCAGACAATCAAATTTGAGGTTGTTTCAGATCCAGCAATGTAAAATAGCTTGCATTCTTCGATCACATCTTCGATACTCATTCCAACTCCCCCTTCTTTGATTTTCTTGGAATTCGATTCCAACAAAATTCCAAGTAAGTCATCGTAGCAACTTTCTCCCATCTCGATTACTTTCTTCCTCTTGTGTATTATACCCCTCACCATAGCATGAAGCTTCTTGCGATTTTCGTTGAACTTCTTGTTTGCTCTTGTAGGTATAAATCTATTTTTTTGGAATATAAGTCCTTTTAGAAATATTTTTATAATAAATAAGACAACTTTAAATCCATTCGTAAAAATGGTGTTTTTTGAAGAAAAAGAACATGATTGCCACCCACAAGTTGGCCTGCTGCCGAAGATTTTTTTACAACCCTATATTTACAGAATAAGTTAAAGAGTAATTAGAGAAAAGTCTTTCACATTCCTTTTTTACTGACTATTGATATGACGGATGCTAGATTTCGTAGTAAGTATTGCCGATGGTATATTTTGTTACATAGTGTCTCTAAGTGTAGCAGTTGTAGTTTTGATCTATACGCCCTATAATTTTTTCATTTCACTTTAGTCGTGACCAACAACTCGATATTAAAAAATTAAGAATGAAATGTTTTGAAAAAAATATAAAAGTTAACCTACGAGCATATCCAATCAACGACTTCACGTATAATTTTATTTTTTTAGTTTTTTCTTTTCCACATCACTTTTCTACTAACCTTATCAAATACGGAGTAAGATGTATTAACCAATGCTCAAAAAAAAATTTGCCATGATTTTACCAATGCGTGTCTTAGCTCTTAAGCTCGCATCTAGCTCTAACTCATAAAAAACGCTGTCTTAAATCATTTAAATTTATATATAGTAATCATTTATAATAAAATTAGATCATAATGAAATATATATATATATATATATATATATATATATATATATATTATATATATATATACACACACAATTTACGTTATAAGACGCGTCTTAAAAACATCAAAACTTGACATGACTCCTAAAACATGAGCATTGACCTTGCCGTCACGCTATGCGTCACATTATTTAAAATATTTCTATTAACTTAATTTATCTTGGATCATCGGTCATTTAACTTTTTTTTTTATGAAATTAATTAATCATCCTCAACTTTATGAAATATTTTATAAAGATTATTATGAAATTTAGTATATATATATATATATATATATATATATATATATATATATATATATATATATATATATATATGATCAATTAAGAATACCAAAAAAGTTGAGAATGCAAGAATAAATCTTAGCCTTCCAAATACTAAGATCTATGACTAATATCGATAGGCCATTTATATAATTTTTGGAATTTGAGGGATGAAATTTTTAATTGTTAATAGATTAAAGGGTATTGTGGTCATTGAACTTTATCCTAAATTTATCAAGTTGTTGGAATTGCTCCCTCTCTCTCTCTCTCTCTCTCTCTCTGTGTGTGTGTGTGTGTGTGTGTAATTCGATTTCTTTTGAGGATCGTCACACACGCCCCAGTAAGTTCCCCATATTCGTAAATTTCGTTTTAATTTTCCTTATTCCTCACTTTTATTGATGAAGGGGTGGACCCTTGTTTGTTATTTACGCAACATCCCTTAATTTCATGGTTCAAATTCTTCTCATATCAGCCTTTATAATGTAACATCCCGACTCCCAGGTATAATATTTAATTATTTTCATTCTTTATTTATGAGGAACTCGACGAGTTGGTTGCCCCAACTCTCCGAGTAGAGGAGTTAATGGCCGCATGATTTCTAGAGTCTACTCGACGAGTAGGTGCTGAGTGAGAAAACCCTAATTTTCAGGGTTTGTGTCCTATTTAAACGACCTTAAGCCTTCATATCCACCTCCCTTCTCACATTAGAGCTTTGTGAGAAACCCTAGACCAGTTCCACTCGTTGAGAGAGAGAGAGAGAGAGTGTGTGTGTGTGTGTGTGTGTGTGTGTGTGTGTTCTTGTGTATTTTTTGGAAGGAGATTTGGAGAGCAACACAGATTGGATTGAGGAGGGACTTTTGGATCCAATGTTCTTCAGTGATTAGCTTCAGTTTGGAGGTAAAAAGCTACCATCTTGACCATTTCTTTTGTTAGATCTCATTCTAGGGAGTTTTAGGGCTTTCTCTCATCCATCTTTTGGTTATTGAGTCACTTGAGCATGTCATGAGATTAAAACCTCAGATCTGGACTGTAGTAGGTCCTTTGAGCCCAAAGATCTAAGCTTTATCAAGCTAGAGGCAAGCCTTTATGCATTAAACCCTATAATAGAGCTGGTTTTGGCATTTCGAGCCCTAGGTGTCATGCATGGACGTAAAGCTTGCAGCTTTACATGGTATTTCAGCCTTGGGAGGTTAGTTCTAGAGTTTGGGACAATATTTCTCCTTAGAATCGACTGAATGAGAATTAGTCAAGAGGGACTCGACGAGTGCATGAGCCAACTCGACGAGTCAGTTAGGGTTTTCCCCGATAGGTTGGATGCGCTACAACTCGGCGAGTTGACGAGACAACTCGACGAGTTGAGTTGGAGTTTTCCAGATTCTTCTGAGGACAGGAGGAACTCAACGAGTCACATAGGTGCACTCACCGAGTTGGGTCAACAGGGACTGTTGACTCGAGTGTTGACTTCCGTTGACTTTTAGGGTTTGGTCAATTGTGGACTTTGGAGACCATGGAGGGGCAAAATGGTATTTTCGCCCTTTGGAGACCTAGTAGAAGTGTTATATTGGTGGTTATTGCAAATTCTTTATTGGAGATAATTATATTATGTAGGCGGAGTCTAGACTGTTCGTAGGGTACTAGATCTACTTGCGTACTTACGAGGTGAATCTTCTCACTATACTTACCTGAGTGGTAATACTGGGTGATGAGAGGGTCTTATTTGAGTTATCGACCGGAGGGTCCTATGTGATTACATTGATTTATGTGATATTATGTATTTTGTCTTTGTGATATATGATATATTATTATGTGCTTTACCGAGTTAGCACCGGAGGTCCAAACCGAGTTGTGAGACCGGAGGGTCTTCACTGAGACACATGACCGGAGGGTCCACACCGAGCCGTAAGACCGAAGGGTCCTCACTGAGACGCATGAGACCAGGGGGTCCATGCCGAGTTATAGCCATGAGAGGCTTACTATTTGTGTATGTTGTATTTTGGGGAACTCGCTAAGCTTTGTGCTTACCGTGTTTCAGGTACTTCTCAGGATCGCAGGAAGGCACCGACTTGATTGTACAGACGAGATGGAGTTTATGTTTTGAGGATCCTGGATTTTATCAAACAATTTATGAATTTGTGTTTTTTAGATTTTTACAATTGGGGTTTTTGAGATATGATATTGAGAATTATGTGATTTTGAAAATGAAAAAAATTTGTTTGAAAATTTAGAGTGTTACAAGTTGGTATCAGAGCCTTGGTTTGAGGGATTCAGATGTACTCTCGGGTGCGTTCGGACTCAAACTGAGGATTTAAGAAATTTTTTCTAAAAAGAAACGATTTTTCCTAAAATGAGTAAGAGTTTTAAAGAGAAAACGAGACGGAGCAGTGTGTACAATCAGCCAGAGCCCAAACGGTGATTTCCCAAAATACCATTAATTGTGTATATAATGAGATATTTATGAGATATTAGAGTTGCATGCTAGAGAATAGGCTAGGTACTCAGAAACTAGGGCTAGAGTTGCCTGATTCATGTTGCCTTAGCCTAGGGTATGCTATTGATTGATTTTATCCGCCATTTGCTCTGTGTGTGTACTGAGTAGGGAGAAACATAACAGGAATTTTTAGAAAGAGTTTTGAGTAATCTAGGAGAGATACCTAGATGAGCATTGAGGAATCTACCGAGAGAGTAGTGAGATCCGTGAGGGATAGAGTACTATGAATTAGGATCATCATAGGAGGACTTGAGACGACTATAGGTTGGTGTGGAAGGTAGTATTGGGCCCGTACTACTAAAAACACCGGATCTGTATGGGACCCAAGTAAGAATCTTAGGATGTTAAGGAGCATGTAGGGGTGGGTAATCGAGTGAGTATGTGTATTGACCTAGTCTCTGATGATTTTGTGTGTGTGTTTCAGAGACACTATGGTGATTACCCGCAACAACCCCGAGGGCAGTGGCGCTAGTGACGAGGAGATTCGCAAGATCATTCATGAGGAGGTGGTCGCAACTATCCGAGAGGCCATACTGGAGATGTTTCGGTCTATTAAGACCACAATGATTGAGACATTCGATAAGCGATACACTGCTGTTGCTACAGCCACCGCGGCCATAGCTGCACCCAGGCCACAAGGAGGTAACTCGTTATTTTGTGAGTTCAGCAACACGAAGCCACCAGAGTTTGATGGGACGCAGGATCCGATAGCTTCCATGAGATGGATCTCCGACATTGAGGGATGTTTTTATGCGTGTTCATGTCCAGAGCATCTGAGAGTCCGGTTCGCGCTGAACCAGCTTCGCTTGGGAGCGAAGGACTGGTGGAAGTTTGTGACGACTGATTTCACCCCTGCAGATCATGCTGCAGGGAATTGGGAGAGCTTCACCAAGTTATTCCGAGATGAGTATATTCCCCACGTGGAGAGGGAACGTTTGGCATATGAGTTTCTATCTCTCAAGCAGAAGACAGAGTCAGTGACTGAGATTATGAGGATGTTTCATGAGAGGGCGTTGTTCTGCCCTGAGCATGTGTCTACTGAGCATGCACGTGTGAGTCGGTATTTGAGCATCTTGAGGAGA